TAAAACTAAAAAAATTAAGCTTGATTTAGACATTAGTTATCGACAGTTCTAGCTAGAGCTACTCGCCGCTAGATGAATGGAACTTTCCGATTGACCCTATTTGATCATGATTTACACTAATTAAGACGTTTGGCTATCGATTCTACCTGTACAAGTGGTTGATCAGGATTAAGAAATACCCCGGGATTCTTCTCTAAAGCCGTCTTCGATCCCGTTTGTCCCGTGACTGGCTGAGTAGATACGTGTAATGCAGTGGCCACACTTTGAAGCAATGTTTCTTCTGTAATATATGGTCCTACTGGTTTCAAGTTCTTTGGCAGATCCATTCCATCAAATTCATAACCGTCAGCATCACATGCCCGTAGTCCTTCCAAACGTTTTTCCCAGAAAAGCTGGAAGATTAGAATTTTAATTAACATGTATTGATCATTTTACTCATCACATATTATTCTACTAAGAAAAATAATACAAGCTACAAAATATTTCATTACATAAAAATTGTATTAAATTGAATCATTGCTTTGAACTTAAGTATATATAAACATTTCTATTAAGTACCATCACCAGCCACCACCAATTAACTTAGAATCCTTTATTAATCAGGATGTGGCGAAACTATAAAATACTTTTCTCCAATTGTTTTTAAATATTAAAACGATTGGCTTTCAATGTTATTATTAAAATTTAGTAGTTAATCACATTTGCTATTGAAAATATAAGAAAAAGCAAAAAATTATTGAGACGATTTCATGATTGCATGTTCAGAGTTACCTGCTTAGGCTTATCTTGGGAGCCATACTTGCCATCAGTTTTATCGGCTCCTTCCTAAAGCAACGATTTGACAGAATTTACAAGGATAGCTAACGAAGAGCAGTACAAGTGAACGGTTATAAGCAGACAAAGTGTATCTCGCAGACATGGTACAGGGATTAGAAAGATCTCTAAGACAAATAATATGAGACAATAATCTGTGAACATATTTATAGATTAAAAGTGTGCAACTACTAGATATCATATATGTGAATAGATGGGATACAGTGTAGTAAAAAGGACTCATTGACACATCAAACTGTTTGACAGTCCAATTAGCATATACATACAATCAGCTGTAATCGTTACGCAAACTAACCTGCTTTGGCTTCTCCTGAGTGCCGTGTTTAATATCCTTCATTTTTCCTTCCTGCGTTTTGTAAATCGTTACCGGTTGCTTAAAAATCGACGCTGTTTGTCTGATTGGTGGCACCAACGACGCGTCGTTCCTGACACCGCGACTAAAAAAGAGCCGCATCGTTAGTACATAGAGAAGATGATCCGTCATCGAGGTTATCACCTTCAGCATTCGAGAAACTGCGTGTCTGTCTGTGAAAATTACTTTCGATCTCAAAGATCTCTTCGAAAATCCACACGTCCCGTTCCCCCGTAAAATCGAACAAGTCTTTCTCTCGAGAATTCATTCAACCTACTTGTAATAATAATCAACCTTCCCCGTGGATGCCAATTGATTCTGACTCTTCCTCGGTTCTTCTCTCGCGGGCCAATTGATTGGCAACGCCGAGGCGTATTTCTTCTTCTCCACGGACATGTTCATCGTTGCGAGTTTCTGTCTTTACACCGCACACACAGTTATCTTTCAAAAATGTCACGGCCACAGATACCGAGATACCCCGTAATTGTCCCGTGGCTTCACTGTCGGCCATATTTAAGCGTCGCAGCATGCGTCGACAGTACGCAGTGCGACGACTAGCCCACAGAGTGCAGCACCTTCTAGTACACAAAATGCACGTGCATAACACGACGCACGTGCATCCCGTTTCGCATTGTTTTGCGCATTCATTGAACGTGTCTAGTAAAACGAAATTTCTCTATGAATCAATGAAAAGCGAGATAAAATTATGAATACTAATAACTTTAATAAAATTATTAAGTAAAATTGATGGTTTTTTTTTCAAACAGTTCCTTTTAATTATATATACATATATATTTAATTATATGAACTCGTTCTAGACACAATATACTGCATACTCCTCAGTCCTCAATATCGACTTTTTTACTAAAGTTTTTATCAGTAGGTGAATTAATAAGTCTAAATGTTAAAATAAATTTGTTGTCAAAAGCTAATTCTATTTTAGAAAAATGTTCTCAAATCTAAATTATTTCCCCAAAATCATATCTCCAATATCATCGTGTATTATTTTATTATAATCTTTTTTTTTTTGCATAAAATCTTTCCTGAAAAATTCAATTTAATGTTAGAAATTATTTATTTTGATACAAAAATTTGTATGTAAGCCTCCACGAATGTTGCGTAAATTAAATATTGATAGCGTAATAAATACGATCAATTGGAATGTATACTTATGAAAGAAAGTTAAAGTAAACGCAATGTTTACTGTAACTTTGTTTGGTAACTGGATTGGCCAATTGGTTGCAACTTTTATTATATATTTATCACATTATGATTCAGTGCAAAATTATAATATTACTGTCGTCATTTTTATATCGACTAGAGAATATTTATTTTACACACCATATCCGTAAAAACTCACTTAGGCATCTTACTTGTATTTATTCTTAGAATAAATCCTCCATTAATTAAAAATTTAGTATTATATTTTATTTCTACTTATTTTGTATTGTTAGTGCTTTTAATAAATAAATTAATCACTATTTTCCAGTATTAAATTTCCATAAAGATTTTCAGTTGACGAATATCTTTAAATTTTAATATCTACTTTTACTTTGATATTTATCTTCAACATTTAAAGGTATTAATGGAAATTTGCCTAATAAAGATTCCGTGAAAAATAGAGTCAGAAAAAATTACTATCTTTAATATTGAATATACAATAAAAATCTTAGAATCGCGGGCTTCGCGATTAAAGTGTTTCCGATATCTTTACTGAACCTTCTCTGAAATAAATTTAAATAAAAAATATTAGGAGGATATCAGGGAGAATTGGTCGGTTGCTAAAGCAATGACGTGAACTCTTGTATATAGATATAGAGGATTTAATTGCCGAAAGAAACAATTTTCGCGTAGCTATAGGAACAACTTGAACGGTGCTTGGAAAAAGATTAACGCTGCCTGTCTTCCGTTTATTACGAACGTATGTTCTTTCTTACGGCGGCTTTCGGTACGCTTTCGCGGAGTGCAAAATGCGAGCACGGAGACGCAATTCAACGCATATTAACGGTTCTGGATGGGGGTAGGAAAAGGGAGGAAATGGGGAAGAGGCAGAGGGTACAATCATTATCGCGGCTATGCGATCTTTTTTTTTGTCTCGCGTAATGCTTTCTTTTTCACGGTGCGTGTGTTATTCAACTGTAAAAGAATATCGATTCTGTACAAGTCAATGAGTTAGAGATAATTAACTATTGAGTCTTCTTGAGGTATCGTTGTTTCTATTGGTCTATACGAACGGGGGCTGTGATTGTCCAAAATCCGAGAATTCGTTCAATCCAGTTCGCATGTCGCAGCTCAACCGGTGAATGTTAACCACGGTTACAGTTTGCAAAGTTCTTATCGCGGCAGTTATAATATCGTGGCGTTGAATTTTGAACGGTCACAGCAGATGTCAACGTGTGTGTGTGTGTGTGTGTATGTGTGTGTGTGTGTGTGTGTGTGTGTATGTATGTGCCTTCCTGTAACAAAATATAAATCTCCATTACGCATCACCCGCTTTCCACCATACGGCCTCCGAATAATAATGCGCTAGCTAGTACCCTAAAAGTCCAGATGCACGCACCTCCGGCTTTGTAACTTGCACCGAAGGGGCGGTGTAAGAATTCAAGTGTTTCGCCTCATTTTACATAATATCGTCCCGTCTCTGCAGTCGTCGATGCAGACGCGCGCGTGGTCGATCACGCTCGACCGGTTTTTGCTCGATGGTTAAAACCTAGGGTCTCACGATGAATAGTCACAAAAATACTTTATCGAATATTCTGCAAAATCCGCCCACGAACGTGGTCCGCTCGCTCGTGTTTGTTTACGCGTATATGCGTGTGCGTAGTATGTATATGCCTATTATGGCAGTCAAGACTCGCAAACAATGTACATTGTATCAAGTTATCCGGTGCGCGTTCGGCGCGCAACTTGTAGAGTTTCCTATTTGTATTCGATACCGCTCGTAATAGGCGTATGAAAGCCAGTTTCATAATTACTTGCAAAAGATCGAAAAGTATCTTTCGCTCCCCTCTTTTTTCTCTGTTTTATCACCGTCCTACTCCCTCGACATGTTTTTATAAAATCTCAATTACAATAAAGTCTTAACGGCAGACGTAACAGTGCCATATAATTACAAAAGAATTGTATTTAAAACTGAAAGTGTAATAAGTACAAATTATTCCTCTTGTCGGTGGTAGAAATGTCAAAGATCACATCGCTGGCTTCGATACCGAACGAACGCAGCATCGCGTACGTCCAACACTGTTAGCGTAATCGACACTTATCGGTTTTTTCATAGCCCTACAGTTTCTCCGCTACATGACGTAAACATTCTTGTCTACATATGTGCTCAATATATATTATGTATAATTCTGCGACACAACACACATCCCTACTTTGACAAGTCTACAACACTAGATCGGCATTCCGTACGTATTCTGGTATTTCGCCGTGGCGTTTGTTTCGACGTTGCATTATTGCAAGAGAACGACCTCTCTCACTCGACGAAATGCGTTTAATTTTTCATTCAGTTTCCATCACAATCACATGCAAAAGGACTTAATAATAATTATAAAGATTCTATATTACATCAGTTAACATATTACACAAGCGATTTCATTATCGCTTCCCACGTTAAATACAGACGCAGGATACTTACACGCGTTTATCTCTTTCTCTCTCTTTCTCTCTCTTTCTCTCTCACACGTCATTCGCTCCATCCTACTTATGATTATAGATTCTATACAATTTTTGTACAGCTAAGTGCCGTAATCTTTATATATATTTATATATCCCCACAATTTATTTTATTTACTACACCCCGAGTATAATTTAATTTTTTGGGATTATAGAAATGTGAAATTTAATTCGCGGTTTCCGTCGAATGTAGCGACCGTAGTACATCGACTAAGTCTTGTCAATTCTTGTTAAACTTTATAATTCGCATTTCGTAGTTCCTTAAATTCACATTTATTATTAGTCACATTTGCAGTAAAAAAAATTAATTTTCTTTTTTCAATTCCTCCGTTGTAAGTCACACTTAATGTCACGTGAAACTTCAATCGATGTTGTATCGAAGTGTATCGTCAAGTCAATATGTGACTCAATACATCACTTCGTAGACGGTGGCTTTCTTGTCGCCAGATCCGGTGACGATGTACTTGTCATCCGTAGAAATATCGCAGCTGAGCACCGAAGACGATTCTTTCGACTAGAAAAAGAAAAAAGAAGAAACGATTATACACGGAGAAACGCGTGATAATAAACGAATCGAAACGCGCAAAGTTGCATATGCGATAACGACTAACCTGGAAAATCGAGGCACCATATGGCGTGCGCCAGGCATTAAGTAAATTGTCCTTGCCGGTGGAGACGAACCACTTGCCGCACGAAGCGAAGCGTAACGATAGCACACAAGATTCGTGCAGATGCAACTGGTATTTGTCGGGTTTCGTGGCATGAAGTACTTCGACATTCGAATTCTCCATACCAACGGCTAACCATTCCCCGGTCGGGCAGTATCCCAGAGAGAATATCTGTGACGTGAAATCGTGCTGCTGCAGTTGTCTACCCTCTCTAAGGTCCCAGGAGCGCACAGTATTATCGAGGCCACCTGTCCACAGTTTCGAACCGTCGGCAGAGATGTCGATGCAAGAGGCGCCATCCGTGTGACCTTGGAATTGTCGAACCAACGTTTGATTCTGCAAATCCCAGACGGCAATGTTGCCATCGCTGCAACAGCTGAAGCAGACCTTCGAGTCCGGCGAGATGGCCAGGGCATAACACGCCGGCGCCGAGGAGGTCAGTTCGGCTTTGATTCTCGGTGTCGGACTAGCCAAGTCCCAGATGCTCAGATTACTCGCCTCGCCTCCAACAATGAGAGTTCGACCGTCAGGTAACAACTTCACCGATCTAATAACAACAATCGAGCGTCGCTTTACATTAATCCCGTTTAATTAATTAAATACCGCCACTTATGCATGCTTTTAAATAATTACTATGGTCGCTCATGTTCTACGGTACGCGAGGAGAGAATTGGGAAGGGACGGGTAAATGCATACGGAAAATGCATGTGATAAATCGATGCCGCGCTCCGGCGTGATATACACAGCCGGCGGACACGACTAAATGTCATCCAGAATTCAGAGTCAGAAATTAATTACAGCGACCGCGTGTAGCGTTCGAGAGTTAATGTGTCACGAATTGCGAATGAAGACACGTGTTACTATCACTGACCTGATATAATTGTCCCGTTGCAGGCAATCAAGCTGGGAGACGGGTTTCGCACTAGCGCTACCACCTTGGCTGATGTCCCACACCTTAACGCAACCTTTGCCGCCGGTGTAGACGTACTTGGTCGGATTCGAGATCGTCACGGCACAGACCACCTCACCGTGAGTTAGCGTATTTATTTGACGCGCATGTCGCGGAATACCCGGGCCAATGAGCGCATCCTGCGGGAATGGTACCGGTTGCATCTGACCTTCACTAGATACGTGGAAACTGTAGGCACTGCTACGAGAAAAACGTCATCCCATAAAAGTATACAGCGATATAAAGCGGTGTAAATGTAACGGTATACCGATAAACTGACGCCTAGATAAGCGGACGACAGCGAATTAGGAAAGGAAAGAACACTCACGGTTTACCACCGGGAGGAATGATCGGTCCGAGTGGTGCTCTCATGCTGCCATGAGGATCATAAAGCTGTTGAAGGGGAGGTCTCGTAGGGTAACCACCGTTGAGTGCTGCCGGAGGATAGCCCAGCATGTCCACGTGAGGTCCTGCGGGTGGATGATGTGGCGGCGGATAGTGCGGCGGATAAGGGCCGACCACCGAAGCCGAAACTAACGGTTTACTGGAACTCGATGGTTTTAGGCCACCGGAACCAGAACTGCTACCTACGATATCATCAGTTAAACATAGAGTCCTTATGTCTTGAGATGTTCTGAAATCTTGTAAAAAAATCCCTAAGAATTCCTGAATTTTCCTGATATTTTTGTTCGCTGTAAAATTAAAAAATAAAAAAAAAATGTTTAATACAACCTCGAAATGAATATTGAACTGGACAACACAAACAAATTACATATCGAAAATTAGCAAAAGATAGGGATGGATTCCGAGAAACACGAGATTATATCTATTATTGTCTACAATTAAAGCCGCGAAGCATGTAGGACAATACAGAGGAGAGTTACTACAACATAGTACCAGTGAGCTATTGTATTCTGCTGAGTATTATCTTCCATTGTCACCTTGACTTTTTTTTTAATAAAAACTCGCGAGCACACAAGATTGTACGTAAATGTACACGAATGTACATAAATATCTATTTTATATGATGGTAACCGATTGTCAACAGTTTGCAACATCAAGGAAAAAAGATTAAAAGAAACAATGTTTTCAGAAAGAGACAGAGTTTAAATTTAAAAATAAAATTCCAAAAATTTTTGAATACCGATAAAATTCCAGGAAAATCCCTGATTTGATCAAAGATAGAAGAAAAATTTCAAAAAATTCTAGGTAGTAAATACCTAGCTACAGTAATACCTTGCTATAGTAAGAATCTAGCCAATGTTGTCATCTTATGTCTATAAACCTATTGATCTCGATAAAATATGATGGATCAATAATGTGTATCAAATTTAGATACACACACACACACACACGTCATGTTTTGTCGAGCTCCAACAATATAGGGCTGGTATTTATAGCCCATTTTTATTTTAAGATTGTCTTCAATAATGTATTAAGATGCTAATACGGCTCTGTGATCGCTTATGACATCTTAAAACTGTACTTAAAACCGTACATATAATCTTAATACGATCTTACATATTCTTGCAGAAATCGGATATCGGCCAATTTGATATGGAAAGACGGGCGCAAAAAAAAAAATGCGTTTGAAAAGAGAGAAAGCAAAGGTGTTTCAAGTTTAAAAAGTGCAAGCAGCGCAAATAAACCTATTGATCAGATTCTTCGTGCAAGAGGAATTCCAGTTAAATTCGCTTATCTCCTGAACCTGTTGTTTCTTTCCATCTGTTCTTACGTATCTTTCTTTGACACCCCGTCGTACGACGACACATTCTTGAATAACACCGTACCTGCCGACGTCGGTGTGACCGGTTTCGAGATCGGTGTCGTTGGTTTCTCACGTTCTTCCATCTTCTTGGCCGAAGGCGTGCTCGCATTGCTGCTAGTACCACTTCTAGGTGATGGCGGTGGTACTTCTTTCTTGACCTGGCCGCTCATAGCCACCGACGATGGGCCCAACTTGTCGAGACCGTTTTCTCGCGGTGACGCCGTGCCGTTCGCCGCGGGGCTGGTCGGGCCCTCGCTCGCGTCGTCGACCACCAGGTCTTGGTCGCTCTTTTCGCCATCGCTTTGCTGTTGCGGGGAGAACACGCACGGCTTTATTGAGGCGGATCGTGAATCGAGGAGCACGGGGCACTAATCTCGGATACTTACATGGCCTATGTCTTTGTCCTGCTCCTTCTTCAGTTTCTTACCCAGCAGATGTTCGTGCTGCGGATCGGGCGTGCTACGCGGTCTGTACTTCTCCCGTTCCGCCGGAGATATCGAGTTCCTCTGTAACAAAGATAATCGACATTTCAACGACGAAATGTTTAACGAATAGCCGATTCGAACGAGGATGTTACGATTTTTATAGAATCCCTTATCAACGCGACAGATACGAAAGATCCGCTCTCCAGTGCGGTTAATCCGATTACGGTGATTTACAGGATTTATTCCGTTCGAGATTTTTACGGACCGCGCCGGATTTTACCTCCTGCCGATAGATTTTCACGGAAAAGTATCGGGGACGAAGGACTTCTTGCGAGCGTAGGGATGGTCGACGGATGGAGGGTAGAACGACTAAAGTCCTTCCTTCCTCCTTCGCGATTAAATAAAACGATCTGCCCGTCGGACGGGTGGAAGAGGCATCGACGGAATTACTTATCCCTCTCTTCACCCGTACGACCTCCATTTCGCTTCGAGGCGAACGAAGAATAATAGGACGGATCGTAGAATCCTGCTTTTTTTTTTTTTCTACCGTATTATGCGCGAGTGCCGAGAAAAATATCGGCACGCAATTCCGAATGCAAAAGTACTCGAATATCTTAGACGTTTTATCGACCTCTTTTTATTTCATCGCGCCTCTTCAATAAACGCTTGTATGAATTGAGACACACTCTTTTCCCGAGAATCTAATCAGCGAAAAGACGGGAAGACTTCACTTTTTCAGTTTTAATATAAGAAACGTAAACGTGAGATAAGAATTGTATATAGTCATCGATAAACAACACACAGATTGCTTATCGCTATTCCGACCTTGTCTTCTGTCATGTTTTGACACGAGTGGATAAAATCAAGAGGAAGATCATCGATGCTGACAATCTTCATAAAAGGTGTTTTTTTTTTCTCCCGTAAAATGCAAGCTAGCTGAAGTCTTGCTCAGAAACACCGAGTCGAAGGTATCATCGACCGGAAGCTTTACGAGCGGTAGTTTCGTCGTCGATACGTCGGACAGAGCAACACCGTCCACATGCCTTGATATATACATACACACACACACATACACACACACACACACACATATATATATATAAGAGTGGAAGCCCTTTCCCTGTCCCCGATAACTGCGCTCCCCATCTTTGCAAACCCGTAAACCACCCCTGTCGCATCCCCTCGCAGCCACCGCTGCTAGTGTCGAAGTAAATCTCCTCTTCTCTCAATTACCCTTCGTCCCTCATCCACCACTACCGACGATGCCGGTTCTCTCGCTCTCTCGGTCCATTACTTCGACGCCTCGGTATCATCTCCCGCCTGTCGACCGAAACACTCCGGGTGAAAAGAAATAAAAAGAAAAATGGAATCTTGAAATATATATACGAATACGCGAGTGTCTCTCTCTTTCTCTTTCTCTTTCTCTCTGGGCGATTAACGTGCAAAATTACATGCCGCGCGGAGGATAAGCGGTGTCGCGCTTAGTGTCTTGTCAGATACTGTCAAGAAATCGCTGAAGAGAGGAAGAGAGAGTCGGCGAGAACGTGTATGAAATCCTGCGAGGCGGAAAAATCGAGCGGGAGCGTGTTCTCTCGTTCACAACGGCGATATAGCGAGGGGAAGAAAAGCGAAGAGACAAAAGAGCCGTGAGAGGGTGAGCAGACGGGAAGTCTCGCAAACACGCGCTCTGCTCACGTCATGAAAGATTCCCAGTAAGAAAAGGATCCCCCGGGAGCCGTATTACGTGCCGCTCTTTCAAGTTTTCTTCGCGGAAGAATCCCAGTAGAGAGAAAGAGGGATCTTTTTCCTCCGAAAAGACGTCCTCTCGTTATCCGGAAACGGTCGGTCACTGCTTATCCGACCAAAGTCCACTGAAGCGGATGAGATGACTGTCGTGTCGTTGAAAAAGGAAAATCTGGCGAGAAAACAACGCTTGACATGCGTTCGCGAGAATATAAGCCATAATGACTTTTGAAAATTTTATGATTTAGACAAACGTTATCACTGGTAAAAGCAACATTTGCGGAGCACATTCGCGACAAGGTTTCGATCATTGCATCACCTCATCACCTGTCTAAAATTATCCACGCGAATACACAACAGCTTTTTATTTATGCAAAAAATGATTTATGGTATTACAAAATAAAATATTTGTATGGTATTTATAAAATATATAATATTAATGTTATGGCGCATATAATTTACAAAAATCATAAAAAAGAATATAACAAGAGAACTTATAGATATAATGGGGAGCTTATAAATAGACGTAATAGACATTGTTATAAATATAAGGACAAATTACAATAAAATCATGAGCAGTGAAACAAGCTATATTGAGAAACAGTGGAATTTGCCATTACAAAATTATTGTAATATGTTATTGTATATATATTTAATAATGATTGACGTACGAATAATATTATTAAAGATAGAAAAAGTATATTCCTGAAAGATGGAGCATAAGAAATACGGTAAAACGATTTCTTTCGAGAAAATCGCAACTGGATTTAGTTCCCTGGAAAATCATGCGGAAACACACACCATCTCGTGTCCGCAGTCGATACCGCTAGTAAGTATGTACCCGGAAGTCTCGTCTTTCGGGGGTAAGCGCATCCTTTCTCCCCCACCCTGTCACCATGAGACGCCGATAGCTCGCAATGTCGTTTCGCGAAAGCTTTCCATTTCTGTTCTCTCTTACTTCCTCCTCGTTGCCTGTTCGTGTTACATTGGTATATGTACAGAGCGCATACATATACGTAATACATGTATACATACGCGTGTGTGTATATATATATATATATATATATACAGATACCTCCGCGAAGAAACGATATACACGCGGCCCGCCTTCCATTCACGTAAGTTTACTTACACCTATCCCGTCGGCTATCCATACCACCCTCTCCCACAAAGAGGATTTGTGCCACGATCAATATGGGGGTTGGTACCTCAGGGGAAGACGAAGAGATAGGAGGAGGAGGCGGCGGAATGTAGGAGGAGCTGCGGGTATACCGTAGATATATAGACTTTGTAGTGTTAGGGACGACTTGGTCCGCAAGCAAGCAAGCAGGCAGGCAGGCAAGCAACTTGGCAAGCAGCAGCAGGCACCGAAGTACAGTCAGGGGTGGCTCTTTCAAGGGTGAGAGGACGAGAGAGAGAGAGAGAGAGAGAGAGAGGAGAGCGGCAGGAGAGAGGCGGACGGGGGGACGGCTTTGGCCGTGTGCATGGTATTGGAGTTGGCGGTCGCAGCCATGAGGGTGGTAAGTGAGTGAGCGACTCCTTCGCCACGGCGCCTCGTCTCGACTCAACCACCCTAACCTTACGGATATATCCCAAGCCACCGACCGACCACCCACCCGTCCTCTCTCCAGCTCCTTCTCTCCTCTTCTCTTTTCTACGTCGTCTCTCACCCCTTACTGCCACTCGTGCGCTCTCACCCTACGTCGGCCAACCATCCACCCCCGTTACCTCATCCGCCTGCCTGCCTGCCTGCCTGCCTGTGGTGCCTGTTTCCCTATTCCTCACTCCATCGTCGTCGTCGTCGTCGTCGTCGTCGTCGTGGCTAGGATCCTGAGAGAGAAGGTTACGAGCCGAAGTCGCATCTCCCAAGACCCCGCAAACCCCCAGCTGGTACAAGATTGCACCCAGTGGCTCTCAGTGTCGTCGTCATCGCCACCGCGCCGGTCTCGAAGGAACGCGAGAGACGTTTCGGGAAATTGGGATTCCACGTGGATCGGCACGATTCGATACCGTCGACTGCGGAGGATGCTCGTGGTTGACGGACATTGCGGGGGCTTTGCGCCGCGACGCAGAGACGTTCGACTAATGCGTCTCGTGTCGGCAAAACTCCAACCGTCGAAGCACGGTAGAAATGTAAAGACAATGCGCTCTCTCTCTCTCTCTCTCTCTCTCTCTGCATTTCAACTTTGAGACTGACATCGTACGAACGACCGTACAAGCTGTTTCCAACCAGACTTATCAGTTTCACGGTATTCACCTTTCCCCTCGAAACATCCATTGTGACGACACCACATAGATCTCGAAGGAGTGTGACTCTCCAGTACGATCGAGTCTTCGAACTCGATTTCCAAATAGATAAACATCCGCGGCATTTAAACTATCTTGACACTTGTTCCGCGATTTCGAACTCGTTTGAGACTAATGGCTCTTGAATATTCGATGCTCGATCGTGATTTTCGTTTCTGCTCGCCCCCTCCCCCCTGCCCCGGACGATTAATTTAATTAACCGAAATCGCTCCCGCGTGCTACCGAGAGATTCATGGTAGGAGATCGCGAGCGTAATTTTGGCCGGACATCCGTTGGCTCGCTAGGTATATACGGCGCGTCGCAGCTTACTCGCGAATGCATGGAATTTTTTATGATCGCGCCGGACGCGGGACGGCATGGCAGCGGTAATCGGTTCGCGAAATCCGGCGCGTACGTGTCACTGGGTCAACCGGTGCATTCGTCATACCGGCAATTAGTGTGCGCGCGCGCGAATTTTTATCACCGGCGCGGCAACGCAGATACCGCCACGTGTTTTGGTCCGGCCGATCTTTTTTTTTTTTTTTTTTTTTTTTTTTCGC